GTCCAGGTTCGCGGTAGCGAACACGTTGAATACACTATGCGTCAATTCGAGCCGCCTGCCTATGATGGCCACATCTTCGACACCGATTCCCTTCGCATCCCTCCAAACGAGGAGACCTGTCTGTTTTGGATGACAGAACATCCGCTTCCGCACGCACACTTCAAGCTTGGGGACATCTTTCAGTTACAGCTATACGACGGGCCCAACCAGATCACAGCAGACGTGCATTTCCAGCGAGCCATCTACAACAATGTCGACGATGTGATTGTCATCCTTGCTACTCTAGCTCCTCCCGCTTCACTCCGCCGAGGTCACACCAAGCTTTTCCGATACTTCGCCTACGAGCACTACGCCATGCTCTCTATGGTTCTCAAGAGTGAAGGTCTCCCACTCGCCGAAGATCCATGGCATTATATTCCCATTTTCGTACCTGCCGACCACCTTGGACGTACACATCAGGACTTGCGTACGAGCACCCACCCCATCGGTCACGACCGTCTCTACGCTGCAAATGGCATTAAGCAGAGCATGCGTCGCTTCACACTTCCTTACGACGATATCCGCGGACATTACCCCGACCCCTTTCCGGTCACAGGACTGCTTCAGTACTCGACAATGTACGAATCTGGATCTGAGGTCGATCTGCCCATTAGGCCGCATCCCCATTGGACGGATCGACCCACATCAGACAACTTCAAAGAGGATGAGTCAGACTCAGACTCGTTGTCGGGTGGACAGCACTCATCGTTGGGTGAACAGCATCCGTCGTCAGGAGGACAGCACTCGTCGTCGGGCATACAGCACCCGTTGTCGGGAACACAGCACTCATCGTCGGGTGTACAGGGCTCGTTGCCGAGCATACATGATTTGTCATCGGGCGTACAGCAATCGTTGTCGAGCGTACAGGACTTGTTGTCGGGCAGGGAAGATTAGCTGTGCAGGGTGTAGGGTTGAGGAGTCATGCAGGCTGATGAAGATAGGATGGTCACCGCATGAGTCATTCTATATCGCCGCCGAGAACGAGGCTGCGTGGTTCATCAACGTGACAAGATTCTACCATCGGATGGTAGCTGGATGAAGGTGTTTGTAGTCAAGATACTCAGGATGCCATCGATTTCCAACATAGCCTCATAGCGTAGCCTTGCAGCGCAGCCTTCATCTCCGTAACAACAGTGACTCATTCGATTAGTATATAAACAGTCCGTTTTCATGTAACGTAGTTCGGGTTCTTGCGTCGTGTCAATTGCCTCATTCTGAATTGCCCTAGCACCGTTGCCTAGTGGGATTCAGTCTTACAGTTTCTGTTTTATCTCTTCAAGTCGTCACGTCTAGCTATCAGTTCTCATACCTTCGCCTCTGCTCTCTCGCCTTCGTCCCCTTCTTATCTATAAGACCGAACTCAACTGGATAGTCCTCAGCTTTCTGATAAGGCTCGGGAACCCAGGCGGAAGTCTCTTCACTTATAAAGTGACTTGCACTTCTTACGCGCGACACCGCGACTCTCGTGAGTTGTTCTCCCACACGAGTCTTCGCTCTTCGTTCACGTAAACTTCCAGCGACGTTTGATGGAACGGGAAGCAGCGGAATTTTGACCGGGTACGCCTACGACCAAGGGATCGGCCCGAAGTCGCTGTTATCGCTGACGCTGAGGGAGCTCCCGCTCGACGTGCCCTTCCGAGGACCGCTTGGTGCCACTTGCGCGAGCGATATCATCCTGCGGCTCAACTCGACGGTGCTGCAGAACATCACTCTTATTCTTCCCATCGGGAGAAACTCGGATGAGCGACACCTGTGGAACGGGTTCGACTGGGATAAGGTGCATCAGGGAAACTACCCCAGGACAAAAAACTCATGTGTGGTAATGATAGTATGAATGTGTTGAATGTGTTCTAAATGACAAAATATTCTGTATTTTCCCAAATATGTAGACTATCTGCAGCCTATGAATTCTGTTTGTTATCAGTATGTCTTGTGTGTTGTACTTGCAGGCTCTGTGTAAGAATAGTACGATCTGTATGACATTTGCATGCTTTGTGGGATATTGGCAGAGAATTGAGAGTAATTGATATCTTTGCACTATTGGTATGCTACTATCTATGTCAAAATATTGACTTGTAGGCAAGTGGTGTCTGGAAACAATTTACAAAGAAGGATGGGGCCAGATCCAGCACTGTATCAGAAGTCCAATCATGGGGAACTTTGGCACCAAATTTAGGGAACAAATGTACAGACTGCATAATTTGTTCAATGGGTATTATGGATGCTTCAGGTATACCCTGTTTCATGGAGCGGGATACCTCATATAGCCGGTGATGGAGACATGGGGAGGACCTAAACTTTGTGAACCACTGAACATATGCAAAATGACCTGCATATTGGTTGTCACCGCCAGAGATTTGTCTTCTGTACTTCTCTGGAATGTGAAACACCGCTCGTACTCGAGCAACTCTGTATCCTAAAGCAAATGTGCTCAATAGAATTCTTGCAATAAGGTATACCACAAACCATTCACTCCTGGACCTGGATTATCTGAGATCTTGACAAGGACAGTGTCGAAGCGAGCTGCACGCTTCCTACCATGGCGACTTGTTTGTGCTGGCAAAACATGAATAGAGTCAAGTGTATTTGGGATCTGTTGCCTGCCATGTGGATTTGGATGTGATATTTTGATATAGTGAAAGGCTGGCAAGGAAAAAAATGGAATCCGAGTGTGAGGAGCAGCTGCAAAAGCCTGAGCAGGAGTATATTCTGGATGTTGGCATTGTGCAATCAAAGCACCCAAGTGATTCTGAAATCCTGCTGCTCCATAGACTGCCTCGAAGTCGGTGAAGCTGACAGCTTTGACAGATGGATGTTTTGCCATTTTGATTTGTCGTGTCTGTGATAGAGCAATTGAATGAGACTGAATGATCGATGGGCATCCTGCAATTCTCCAGCTGATATACCGCTCATGGCACAAGACCTTTTCCTTGCGCTCCAACCATGTGGTCATCTGTGGATATTCGTCCTTTTTATTGGTAGCACGGTAGGCGTCTTTGGTGAAGTCAATGTGTAAACGTTCTGTGGTCTCGGTATTGGTGTTGTCTGTTGTGCCAAAGTTCTCTATAAGATCACGGTAATGGAAGCAAAAGTGGAGCTTAGGGATATTGAAGTGGGCGCGGATCCCAAGCTGAATAAAGATATCCTTGTTGGCATGGAACTCCGCTAGTGCTGTATCCATTGCGTCCAGGGTATGCTTGGAGTGGACTGGATATTGTGCTAAATAGAGGAAATCCAGTATACCTCGCACCGCACATATAACACGGATAGGTGAAAAGCCACCTGGAAGTCGAAGGCCAATAACCAGACCTAGGAGAATGCGGCATATATCACGGTGCTCTGAACCTGAGACACGTGATAGTGAGCATATACCCTTGGAAAAGAAGCGTGTGCCATGTCCAGGGGGCATCCGGCGACATCGAGCATCAATCTCCGCTGCTCCAAATGCAGCACGAAGCCAAGCCAGGAGATGCTTTAAAACACCCTGGTAGAGTTGATGTAGAATATCAGGGGCAATAGACCGGAATATGTTCACAAATGGTAGGGATTTCCAGAATGGGTTGTAAACGGGCTTGATCCCAGCATCCTCGCATGCTTGTGCAAATGCAGCTCCTCCTTCTTCTGCTAAGTCGAGAGCCTTGATTGCTTCTACAAGGTTACGTAGAGCAGCCTCCTTGTCATCACCTAGCTTATCCCGGTCCACAGTACATGTTGGACATTCGCCATATTTGCAGCAGACAGTGAGCATCTGCTCAGGATAATCCACCGCAGAGCATGCTAAGATAGGGTGACAGTGGTATTGAACACCATGACCTGTAGCCATGGGCAGACCATCTATGCCTGATGAGCGCAAAGGAGCCAAAATACGCCCTAGACAAGCATGGTAGAGATTTGCAAGAGCCCGTCGACGTGATGGCAAGTTGGTGATGTGCTCAAGTCTGGTAGCAGGAAGGTATCCGATGAGCATCTGGCCTCCCATTGATGGCTTACGACGTATTTCCTTTGGTAAGTTGCCTATAGTCATATATACTGGATATGCGGTCTTGTTGCGGAATTGTGTTAGCTGTGTCTTGTCGGTGCTGATGATCACAGGAATGATAGTTGCACCAGGCTTGAGGTGCTCTAACCGCTTCTGTATATGTTATGAATATTAAACCATACCACTTAATAATATTATTACTAACCTGTGTAGCCCACCACCATTTTCCGGTGTGCATATCATGGTACAGAGGCACTGTGCCCTCAGCATCTGCAAAGTGACGCTCAGGTGCAGTAATGATAACATCGGCGAATTCTGGTCTGCCAAAAAGACTCCGGATGCAGTGAAGGATATTTCGTGACCACATATCATATGCGACACCATCAACCACCAACTGGTCATGTCGGAAAGATGGTCGGTCAGGCAGCTTGGTGTCAATAATCTTGTTGAGCTCCCTTGTGTTATGATAAGAGAGGCCAAGCTGCTCAGCAACCTGGTGGATATGAAATGAATGTCACGATAGCTCTTAGAGTGAATATAAATTACCCCATCAATCCCAAGAAGCTCGGTGAAGGCAGTAGAGCTAGGACCACGCAGCTTCGCCCATCTTGCAATCTCCCAATCAATACGGCTCTTGAATGGATGATACAAGTCTGCATCCGTGTCGCGAGCAACAGTATGGTCACCAAGTTGGTCACTATATGCCTCATAGCTCGTGGTAGTCTTATTCTGCAAAGGTTTCCCCGCACGGCCAGGAAATCGATCAATCCTGACGGAGCTAGATACATTCTGCTCAGCAGCAGCATGCCCCGCAGCATCATAATTGGACAGGTCCGGGGGTCCGTCCATATCCGAAGACATGGGTGACGATGAACGTGAATGATCTGTTGATCTGAAAGAGCTAGAGGAGAAAAATGTGGACGAGGAGGATGAATCAAGACTTGGGTCATAATCGGAATCACTTGATTCCGAGGAGGCTGCGTCACCATGACTGGAGAGGATAGGCCCCGCTTCGTGCTGTCCATCATCTGCGACGGCACCAGTCATATCTACATCCTCACGAGGAGGACCCGGTACATCCTGGTCAGGGTCCAATAACGGCCACATGTCATGCCAATCGCGGCACGCCTTGTTCGCAGTAAGGGCAAGGTGCCTAGCCAGACCATTGACAGTAAACAATTTCCGGCATCCACCACATAGTTCGGACATTGTAGGTCCTTGAGTACGGCGTGTTCGGGAGTGGACAGTGCAAGCAGCAGCTGGAGTGAACACAGTGAACAAAGGGCAAAACGGGGCGGGAGTAAGGGCTGATGAGGGGCAGAGGACAAAGCGGGTGAGGCCAAGGTGTCACCCATGCGCACGATTTGACCCCGAAACATCACCGGTGGGACAATAT